AGCGGGCAACCAAGGGGACGCTACCACTTTGGGGGGTCCCTTTGTAGTTGCTTGCAAGCTTCCAAACCATGGTGCGGTCGGTAATGCCGACATCCTGCAGGCATATCCAAACGTGCGTCAGTTGCAAGAAAGAATGCATGGGCGACCGACAAAAATTGGGGGAAGAGGAACAAGCAGCGTGACCTGGTGGTATATCATCCATCTCCTTTTGCACGCTGGCAACAAAAGCCAACATGGCGACAAAGTGAGAAACAGCCTGGTCAAAAATGGCAAGTCGTTGGTCAACGGGATTCTCAGTCCCATATTGAACAAAGGTCGTGCCAAATCCGCAATGGCTCCAAGGAAAAACAAGCGTGTATTTTTTAGGCAAGATGAATCTGCGTTGCTTTCCGTAGTTGGCATGTTCAAGCCCAGCATGTTACGTCCTTGTACTTCTTCATCACCTCCATGATGACATCCTTGCCCTTCTTCAAGTCATCTGCATTGCCTCACGCTCGCGTCGACGCGTCGACTTACGGAAGTGGATCCCCCTTCGCCAACCACGACTCACCACTGGACGAAAATGTCGAAAGTCAGCGCGATCGATCCCACTGCAGCGCAAGAAAAAGACCCAGGTAGCAGCCATGGGTTTGTCTCCAAATGGGGGCACCACACAAGAAAGGTGGAATTTCCCCTTGGTTTCCCTTGAAAAAAAGGGCCCACAAAAGGCCACCCCCACCCTCCGAAAAAAAATACACACGCCGAGCTGCGGTACACCGGGGCGTATTTCTGCATGTTCACCTACAGACTGCAGGCTGGATGATTGGACGGTGACTTGCGTGTTGTGAATGCCATGAGAAACTGGAGGCACTGGATCAGCCCCTAAAAGCCCTTCGCAGCGTCTTTGGGTTGCCATTGGTCTCATTTCATCCTATCCGTTTTCAGGGTAGCAGTTTGTCTCTCGATTGACGAACTCCGATGGGTCACCTGAGCCATTTTTTCCGGACAAACGCCTTACCGCGCAACAACTGCGACAATGAGCTGAGATCCGCTGCCTGCAGTTCCCGGCGGAGGTCGGCCGTGGGGATGGCGCCCTTGGCATGGCGGATCTTGTCCATGCGCGCGATGGAGGCCTCCCCAGCCTGAGTTACCAGCGATGGACCGGGCGTTTCACCGTTTCACCCTAGGTCTCGCTGATGGCGAGTTTCACCCGTCTCGCTAGACCGTTTCTGGGCGAGGTGGAAAAGCGATGGAAGCAAAGAAGGCCGGCAAAAATGGGCAACTCTTCCCTCTCACGCAGTCACCCGCGCGGAAAATCTTAACTCCCTGTCCATTGAGTCCGACTTGTTTTTGCCGAAGCTTTGGCCGGGCTGCGTTCTTGGGCAGAACCACCGGCGGGCCTCAGCGCAACTCCGAGATGGAAGGCCATCCAAGCAGCTACGTGAGGTCCCAAAATCAAAGCACAAGTTGCCGGAGTCCTCCAAGTTTGGGCCAGAAGTCTGCAGTTCGGGTTTTACTTGACCTGTCGCCTTGTCTCAAAATATTCGAACTCCCAACACATGGGTGGTCCTCTAATTAACCGGTAACCCGGAAGGGGGTTGATGGGCCTCTGGTTTCCCTTTAATTTCTCCTTGACGACCAGCCAAAAAGGCACTAGGTCTTACATAGATCAGGTACCCCTTCATTGGTGGTTTCCATTGTTGGCTTGGGCTCCAAAGAAAACAGCCACATCTTTCCCGTAGCCAAATGCTTGGAGTCCTTTTCCCTTTTAACACAGATCTCCTCTTTGCGCGCGTGGGCTGCACAAAACATGCTGGTGCAAAACGTAGGGAATCTGTTGCGGCCGGAGCGGCTGTTGGGCTTCACCAGCTCCGCCGTGGTGTCCGCGGCCTGGCGCCCGAAGACCACGAGGTCCAGCAACGAGTTGGCGCCCAGGCGGTTGGCGCCGTGCACCGAGGCGCAGCCCGCCTATTCAGCGAACGGACAGAGTAGGAAAGAGGGAATGGCTCTTGGTTTGCGGGTCAGCGTTGTGGGGGCTTAAAGGAAACAGAAGGAGACAAACAGAGGGTTTTTAGTGAAGCGACCAGGGCGTGAGTCGAAGATGGTGTCCACTGCTCCCCCAAACCCCACTACCGGGATGCAGGGCAAAACGGAATATACCCCGAACCCGCGCCTCAAACCATTAGGAAGAGTGGTTTGGGGGTAGTGAAAACCATCTTGTCGGGGAAGGCAGGGAGGTTGGTAGGTGACAATATAGGGGAACCCCTTTCAGGAGTGGGGAGGGGGGGAGGGGTTTAGGTTTCCTTGTTGGCCAACTTGAAAACGGTACCTTCAAAGAACACACACCTATGTGAGCGTGTGTAAACGAGCCAAGTGCAGCATGTTTCGGCGTTGCTTTGTCATACTTCCCAGATCAATGTGGAACCTCTACAACCCATCCATAGGTAAAGGAAACTCCTTGTTGCTCCACTTGAGCAGCGCCAGAAACCCCCACCATTTTAGTATATATGGGACATCCTACCCGTATGAAGCTGTATGACCATGTTGGAGCGAGTTGATGGGACAAGAGCTTGCTAAAAAATGGCGCACCCTCTTTGGGTTGGTAAAGGGAAACGAAAAGAACGCCCTCCATTTTTGAAACAGGGCTGCTAGGCTGGCAAAGCGCCTCGCCGGCAGCCAGAAGTCCAGGCACCACTGTGCTCTCTGCATCCTTCACCACCTGCATCTCACATCCGACTGCCGTTCCCCGCGTTCCCATTCGAGCAACCCGAAGTTGGGTACCTGAAGTTGACTTCTAGCAACCATCAAAGATTCCAAGTGGTAGGTTTCTGGGAAGCACGACCCCACTTTCCAACTTTCGCAACCGCTACAAACAATTGAAATACTGGGCCTTGACAAGCTGGTTTCTACCATAGCCGCAAAACGGAAAGAACAACGCTGTCAAGTCGCCACTTGTGCAAGCACCTTGCGGGATGCTCTCAGAAAGCGCCATGTGATTGCGCTCTTCTGTATTCTCAATGGATGAAACCTTGATGCACCCTCTTTCTCCATTGGATCAAGGGCAATCTGTGGTTCTGAACCTGCGTCTTCCAGTTGGTGGGAATGCCGCCCATGTTGTAGTGCACGGTCGGCAGCACCGGCGCTGGCTCCTTGTAGGCAACGAGGAACCCCCCATTAGTGGTTTTCCTTTTGGTCTCCCTTCCGACCAACTAAAATCATTAACCTCTTCTTCTTTCTCTTCTTAATTTTACCTCCTAAACAACATCTGACCCGTCAAACACTACGCTTCCAGTAGGCGACATGGGTTAATGCGGGCTTTTGGTTAAAACTCAAAGCTCGCCCCTCTCCAATGTATCATAGATATTTTGTCCCAGGCTTCCGCCAGTCAACCCCTGGCCCATGTCCCTCAGACATTCAAACCACACGGAAGCCCATGGGATTCCGCGCCCCAAGCGGCCATAGCCAGAATTGGTGGGCGAATCGTTTCAACCAGACAAAGTGGTCCGGAAGTTCTTGGGCTAAGAGGAACAGGGCCCTAACAGTTGGGATAGATCTCGTCCGTTTCTGCCTCACAAACTGTTCGTGTGGCAAGTTCAGTTGGACACCGTGGTTTGTGGGTGTTTTGCAAAGTTAGGGACCCCTCCAGTTAGTTTCTGTTTGGTTTCCCTCCAGCACCATACCGACTTGGGCCCCCGAAATTTCGAGAAGTACCCATGTGGCTGTCAATTTTAATAGGGAGCCACATCAAAAACTGCTTGGTGAACTCGGTTGCTTTCTGCTCCCCTGCTAAAAGTTTAACTTTCAGTGGTTTAATGGAAAACCCCTCAGTTGGCAAAAAAGTTAAAGTCCTAACATCCAAGCAAAATGCCCCAAAGTGAACATGAGTCTCCATCCAAAGATGTCCACCAGAGGGTGGACGGGACCCCTTCAAATTTCACCCCCAGCGCGGAAATTCTGCGCTGCTCCTTGGTGACGTCAACGCCCGCGAAGATCTTTGCAGTCTCGGAGATGCCGGGCAGACGCTCCGCCAGTGTCTCAGGCGGCAAGTGGTCCAGGTGCAGGTAGATGTGGTCCTTCGGAGCCACCGTCGCTTTAAGGGTTTCCCTTTTGAGAGGCTTATCTCCAACAAAAACCAAAAGGACGCCCAAAACAGGGGTCTGTCTATTTTGACTACCAGGAAAACGTGGATTGGAAGGGCGGCGCGAACTCAATTGAGGCATAAAGTAGGAGTGGAAAGCTGGCAGAAGCCAAGAAGGGGATTGAACGCCACACATATGCAACAGCTTTCAACGGCTGAGTAGATAGAACTCACGAGAAAAAACCCAGCCCCTCCAAGCGACTTGTATCTTGAACATCTTAGTGATCAGTGTTTGAAACAGAGAGTACGGCGGCGCGCTTGCGTTGCCAACATCAGGGTGTCGCCATTTCAGCTTTCGGCTAGGCAGGGTTGCTCTGCCCAAAGGACCTGGACCTAGAAAGGTTTACCCTGGGCCGCGACTGGACCAAAATGAGAAAAACTGCTTTGGTCATAGGTCGATTCATTCGCTTTGAACGGATACGAACATCCACGTTTCAGCTGTTCACCCCAAAAGCCAGGGTTTCCCTAGACTTCAACCTTTTGAACACCGCTACCAATGACCAAGCAGAGATCCTTCCATTATACACCTGAGCATTGCCTTGTCAATGGTGGTGTCCCTTTATTTTGGTGGAAAAAGCCATGTTTCAAATGGGCAAAATGTATCTCTTAAGGAGCCCTGCCAAGGGAAACATCTTCCCCATGGGCCAACAAAAACCGCTGGACCTCCGCGCCAGGTCCTTGTTGGGCCCCACGCCGCGGCCCTCGCGGATCTCCAGCGTCATGGCGCGGCTCACCACGTCCCGGGAGGCCAAGTCCTCACCAGGCAGAGCCCTGTGGATACGGACAATCTACCGATATACATACAAATACATCCTGGAACCTCCATCGTAGCATAAATTTCTGCCTCCCCCCTTGTTCGATAGCACTTTTTGCCTCCCATTCGCTTCCGAGCGCTTTTTGACGATTCGGGCAGAAATCCCATTCGGCCGTGTTTTCTTCTTCTACATGGTCAAGTTGCCGCCAAAACGGGCGCAAAAATGTGCAAAAAAAGTGCAAAACGAGCGCAAATCGGCGCAAAAAGCGCAAACGAGCGCAAATTCAAAAAATGCTACGAATCGCAGGTAGCAAATTGCATTCGCGCGGATGCCTCGAGCACTTTCTGCTACAACGCGTTTTTTTGAGTAGAACGTGTCACGAGCAAAAAAAAGTAGCAACAATTAAGGTAGCAATGGAGGCTCCAGGATAAGTACATTTGCTGTATGAGGAAAATGTACATAGGATATGTATATATATATATGTATATATATATACACATGATATATATATATATATATTTATATATGTACATAAATATATATATATATATATATATATATATATATATATATATCTATATATATATTATATATACCTGCACCCTCCGAATGTACAAACAATTCCGTACATGCCCGAAAAAAAACGTGCATGAACACTTTTCAGAAAAATTGACACAAATTGCCTTTAGCTAGATGTGAGCGTTTGTGGAGTTCCTGCATGCACTTAAGCACAGCTTGCAATTTGTATGGCCCGTCGTCATGCAGGTCATTTGTCTCCATTTGCTGCGGGGCAACGTGTGACAGCTTCCTTGCCGCTTTTGCAAGTTTGCAGTTTTCTCAGCCAAAATGCAGAAAGCGGAAATGCACGGAAATCGGCGGGACATGTACAGAAATCGGCGAGAAAAGTACGGAAATCTGCGGAAAAAAAAGTACGGAAATCAGCCGAGAAAGTACGAAAATCTGCGGAACATTTGCTTGGGGAAATGCACACCTTTTGTCCTTGGTGAATTGCACACATTCAATTGGGTTTTTCGGCGCATGAGCATGACAATCTCCAGTGCCAGGGTCGGAGCTGAACGTGAGATTCTTGCAGAAAAAAATAGTTGAATGCTGCCGTGTCTTTTATTGTAGCCCGCAATAAAGATACAGAGTTGTTTTTCTCAAACGTATGGATTTCACGGAAATGCACGCGTTGTTTTTCTCCTTTTTTGTTCTTCTTTTTTTCCGTTCGGATAGTCGCAACAAATGTGCCCTTGGTTGGTCCAGGTATATATACCGTATACCGATATACATCTTATATACAAACACAAGCGCCACCGCCTTTCTGGCCGCCCCAATCCGCGGCGCCTTGGCCGTGGGCGCGTAGCGCGCCATGAAGGGCTCGCCCTCAGAGTTGCGGAGGATGCCGCCCTCACCACGGCAGCCCTCGGTCAGCAAGCACCCCGCCGGGAAGATTCCTGAGAGGTGCAGTGCTTGGTTTAAACTTCAAGTCCAAAAGAACCTGAAGATTTGAGAGTCTAAATAGACAAATTGTGGGACACCAAGCTTTACCCCAAGACATTGCTTCAAAATGCCCAGGACAGCGTCATCGGCATGCGTGAGATGTGCTGAGATATCATGAGCTCAGCGCCTGTGGGGTGGAACTGCACGAACTCCAGATCCTGCATCGGCAGCCCAGCACGGGAGGCCATGGCGCTGCCGTCGCCTGGCCGGGCGACAAAGAAGCGGTGGATGCTTCCCATCGCAAGCACCTTGCGACCCAAAGAATTCCCAAGAAGCGCCCAGTGCACACGCCTGGCGCCATGACAAAACGGACATTTCCCACGCCTGTGCACGTGTGTGCGGAGGTACAGGACTGGTAGGCGCGGCCGAAGCCGCCCGTGGCAACGATGGTGGAGTGGGCACCGAAACGGTGAATCGAGCCATCCTCCATGCACCTCACACTCGCTGACAGCCCCACGACTGGCCAAAATGGAGCAAAAAGGCGGTTGCAGGAAAGGGATTTCCAACTCGAATGTGTGGCTTGAGGCTTTGCGCTGCTCCCTGAAGCTTTCAATCTACGCCCACTACATAATCTACGACATGATGGCAACGCGAGCGTCTCTGTCGCCTAGCATGCCAAGGCGCATCGCGACGCAGCCCAAGCATTTGCCATCATCGCCTTGAGTCGGGATTGTTGCTAAAAGTCTGTGTGTGCGTGTCTGCTTCTCCCGCAGCCTTCTGAATCACATTTAAACCTAATTAGCGACCGGTTTTGTGTTTGTGATGGCTGCAAGGGGAGCAAGTATCAAGAGGAAGCCAGCTTCCCAAACTTCCTTTGCAGCCACAGGTGCTCATGATGAGATCCATGGCAAAGTACTCTACGAAGAAGAGGCAGTCGAACTTCAACGCCATGCCTTGCACCCATCACACTGCGGCAGTTCTCGGCAAGGCAAGGAGTGTCAGCAGGAAAAGGTGCGAATACAAGGCGGCTATGAACCTAAATGAGGTACTCTCCCAAATCGTTGGTAGACGTACACCCCGTACATGTTGTCCACCAGAGGGTCATAAATTAAACTTACCCACAAGGACGCACAAGCAGGGCAAAGACTTCCCAACTAGTACCAGGCTTCAATTTTGACGTAGTACCGTTCAATTTTGAGCGCGCGGGCGCAAACCTATCGCACTCCCCCCGGCCCCAAATACCGTCGCATGCCCAAAGTGCCGTAGAGGGTGTGCAGGATGGCGTGGCCGGTTCGGTCCGCCGCTGCGGCGCAACGGTAGGCCTGACCACCTGGCCATCGCTTCACTGCTTCACTCAGGGGATGGGAGGACCGTCATCAAGCT